ATCTATATATATATATATATATATATATATCTATATATATATATATATATATATATATATATATATAGATATAGAGAGAGATCTATATATAGATCTATATACATACTGTATACACATCAATGTGCACATACTCTTATAAATTATATATAAACATACAAACAAACATTTTGCTGTTAGCAATACCCAGTGGTATGAGAATTATCTTTCAACCCTTAAGTTTATTTCCACGGCTCGGGAAATATTTCCAGTTTTTGTACAAAAGAAAAAAGAAAAAAGAAATGAACAGAAAAGAAAAGAAAAAGAAAGAAAATTAAATAAACTGTATGTTTCCTGATTACCTCTTGCTAATAAACCTATTCTATCTCAGGGGGATATTGCTTCCTTGTATGTGGTTTTTGTCATGCTCACTTCATTTGGCTCTCTTAGAAATTGGGTCATAAGTGTATTATGTAATGATATGGGCCTCGTTTATTTTAAAACGGCAGGTTTTTAGTATTTACATTTGTGCAATTAAGCAAACAGTGTTTGTTTGCTCTGATATTCATCCATTACATAGTTGTAAGACTTTATAAATACCTTGCAGGTGGATCATTTAGGCCTATGTAATCAATTTTTGTTGTAAAAGAACAGTTTCCTAATATCTTTACGACACTATTATGTTCATAGTATAGGGTTGTTTTCAGGAAAAATATTGGGTGTAAACCAAAACCCTGTTTGCCTTGAAGACTGGCTAAAAGCATGTAGGGCTACTGTAAGCTAAACTTCTATAAGTAACTCGCTGGCGTGACACATCTGGTCATGTGATGTCAACATGAGGAGGCGACCCGCTCCATGTAAAATAAAACGGCTTTATCTGAGTGCACATTTTACTGATATATCTCAAAAATGCTGCTCATTTCTTTGTGTATAACGTTTTAATTATCAAAAGAATATTGAGTGCACCTTTAACCCGAAGAGCAGAGTACAATGAAAGCCCTCCCTCGTGTAGGAGGAGTGCTAAAGCTCTCATGTGATGAGATCTCACATACTGTAATGCTGCTGTTATGAGCTGCTCGCAGGGTTGAAGATGAACAGGCTGATTTTACCGGTTCTGTTTGCCGTTCTCTATCAGGTGCATACACTGCCATTGCACACTGAGGAAGGTAAATTTTTAAACCAGTGTTTGACTTTGAGCTTTTTTTCTTCTTCCACGTACGTGCGCCGTTGCGTTGTAGCTACTTTCGCTCTTGACTATTTGGCGGTTACAGTCTTCAAAACAAATGCATAACAAGTTTATGACCACTTAGACTTAGGCTACAGCTAGGCTATTGTCATATATAATACAGCATTTAAAATAGATTTTATGGACTAAAATGCAAATGGTTAATTCATTGAAACTTGATAAAGGTACTTTGGAGAACTGTTGTGTGCATTAAAAAATGAAATATTAATATTTATTTGTTACAGATGAGTATCTTTTCAAATCATGGATGTCTCAGGTAAGAATAAGTTAATTATAAGTTCGTGTCGCAACACAAGGAAATTTAAGGCGACACTAAAGGCATTAAAAATAAAAATATTTATTTGTTACAGATGAGTATCTTTTCAAATCATGGATGTCTCAGGTAAGAATAAGTTAATTATAAGTTCGTGTCGCAACACAAGGAAATTTAAGGCGACACTAAAGGAAGGAAGTGAAAATTAGAAAGAGGAAGGAGGTAACTTTATTTATTCTTTTGAAATGTTCAGTATAACAACAAATATGAGATAAATGAATATTACCAGCGGCTACAGACATTCCTGGAGAACAAGAAGAAGATTGAGCGCCATAATGCAGGAAACCACAAGTTTTCAAGTATGACTGATATAATCTAACTTAATGAAGTCTTTAATTGTTTTAAAGCAGTGTTATGAAAATGATGTTTAAAAAAAATCACATAACATTTCTCTGCACTTTACAGTGGGACTGAATCAGTTTTCAGACATGACCTTTACTGAATTTAAAAAGTCCTACCTCCTGACAGAACCTCAGGTATTATTTTTAACAGCCTCTCGTGATCAATGAGGAAATAGGAAAGTACCACAATTCATGAATATTTTATATCCTGACAGAACTGCTCTGCCACTAGAGGGAATCATGTGAGCAGTAACGGACCTTATCCTGATATGATTGACTGGAGAACGAAAGGACACTATGTAACTGATGTCAAGAACCAGGTAGCTTGCTTATCTTGCTATAGGCTAATAATTCTCTATTGTACTTACAATTGATTATTTTTTAAGTAAACAGTGCTAATGCTTAATCAGTGACACTATTTCAGGGAGCTTGTGGTAGCTGCTGGACTTTTTCCACCACAGGCTGTCTGGAGTCTGTCACTGCTATTGCCACAGGGAAACTCCTACAACTAGTATGTAAATGTTGCTTTTAATTTAACAATGACAGTGAACATTCATCATTTTTTCTGCCCTTTGGCAAGTTCAAACAAACCCCAAAACAGCACATTAGTAATAAAATATAACTGTAATATATATGAAACATCAGGTTATTTTGTCTAACCTCTTCTTCTTCCTATCATGCATTGTTTTACAGGCAGAGCAGCAGCTTGTTGATTGTGCGGGTGCTTTCGACAATCATGGTTGCAATGGGTGAGCTTCATCTTGGCTTTTTTTATGGTTTTAGGAGTAAAGTCTTAACTGTAAAATGGTCTAAACAACATTTTACATCCCGTCACCGCTTTTTAGTGGCCTCCCAAGTCATGCCTTTGAGTACATCATGTACAACAAAGGTCTTATGACAGAACAAGATTACCCCTATAAGGCTATAGTAAGTATTTTACCATTTTAACTATTGTTTTCAAGAGTTCATTTATAAAGTGCTAACATTTGTTCATACTCTACTTACTTGTAGCAAGGTGAATGTAGATTCAAACCAGAGTTGGCTGCTGCCTTTGTGAAGGATGTTGTAAACATTACAAAGGTAATGGTCTGTGTACAAATATTATTAAAACTTCATGTCTTCACTCTAACTGTAAATTCCTGTTATTAGTATGATGAAATGGGCATGGTGGATGCTGTGGCCAGGTTGAACCCTGTCAGCCTTGCATATGAGGTGACATCTGATTTCATGCACTACAGAGATGGAATATACACCAGGTTAGGATTAAATATATGTACATTTGCTTTTATACTGGATATATTTCTGACAGTTCATGGGAATTTCTGTAATGTTATGACTGTATTTTATAGCACCAAGTGTCACAACACTACTGACATGGTGAACCATGCAGTGCTTGCTGTGGGCTATGCTGAGCAGAATGGAACTCCATACTGGATAGTGAAGAACTCCTGGGGAACCAACTGGGGAATTAATGGGTCTGTTTACATGATTTACTCAAATGTTGTGCTGCTGTACGGTTAAAAAATATAGTAGCGATTATATATAAAACTTGACCATTTTGCCAAGTTAATAACAATAAATGTGATGTCTTGTTATTTCCCATACAGATATTTCTATATCGAGAGGGGAAAGAACATGTGTGGACTTGCTGCATGTTCATCCTATCCTTTACCTTTGGTGTAAATAACTGAAAAGTATTTTCTTACACCATGAAAAGGGAGACAAGTTATTACATTTACTCTCACACAAAATCATTTTATGCACGATGAGTTGTTGTAGACTATACTAGCTGTCAGTAAATAAGTTAAATACTTATTTAACTTTACATTAAAAGAATGATTTACGTTCATTGAAAACATTCAGTGACACTCTAGTGCAGTGGTTCTCAAACCTGTCCTGGAGTACCCCCAGCCCTGCACATTTTGTATGTCTCCCTCATCTATCACACCTGATTCAACTCATCAACTCATTAGTGGAGACTGCAAGACCTGAAGTGGGTGTGTCAGATATAGGGAGACATACAAAACGTGCAGTGCTGGGGGTACTTCATGGAGAGGTTTGAGAACCCCTGCTCTAGTCAGTGACATTTTGACAATGTCAGTGACATTTCTATTAATACGCTTAATGTTGAAGTTGTCTACTTTGTTAAAATGAAGAATTTGTAATATTTATGTTTGCAACCAAAATTATTGTACTGAAATAAATATATTCTCAGGGATTTGTTTGTGTGTGTGTGTGTGTGTGTGTGTGTGTGTGTGTGTGTGTGTCCTGTCTTTTTTATGGATCACTTTCCATCAGAGTAATGGTGTTCATCCATTAAGTAGAACTTTAAGACTTTAAAAAGTAAAAACTGCAAAAGACACAGCAGACATTGCTTGAGAACCTATGTTTAACATTTACTGTATTGAAATTAACTTAAATGTGAATTTTTAAGTTTTTTTTTTTTGTGCTGCTTCTTAATTAAATACTGCGAGACTGTACTTCCTTGCTGAGATAGAATATGTAAATAATGTGCAATTCCACAGCAAACCAGTATGTGGCAACCTAAACCCACATCTAATGTTTGAG